TGCTGTTTCAGACAAGAAGGAGAATGTGCTGGATGAATTATCGTTAATAGAAATGTCGAGAAACGAAAGGGGGGGATACCTCCTCCTGTTTTAAAAGTGAAGGTTGCGCGCATCAGGCAGACGAGCGTTAAAACTTTAGCGTACTCGTGCAAAATGTACGTGGGTGACTAAGTAAAATGAAAATTTTATCAGTGGCTTAACATTAGAAGGACATGCACAAAGAGCTTCGGTTTCAAGAGCGTTGATAAAAACTGAAGTGAGGTTTGAATGAGTTTATTCGTTCTTCAAACGATTATGCATCTCAATTTAACATATGCAACCAGCCGGTTAGCACGAAAATCAGTATTTCGATCATACGAATTACGCATCTTCTAAATAATAAGATTTTTTTCTGCAAATAGTTTGTTGCATGTCTTCATACCATGCATTTGTTTCTTTGTGTGACTTCTTGTTTTTCAGTGCGAAGGAAGCTGCTAAACTAAAGGATGATCTTTTAAAGTCAAAGCAAGCAGAAATCCAGGCGCGTGATAAATTGCGCGAATTGATGAGTAATCCATACACAGTGAGTCGTTTTCGACTTGATAAATGATGTTGGCAATTTATATTTTAGCCCCTGTACTCTTTGAATGATTTTGAGCGTAATGCCATGCCTAACATCGGCTCAGTGAGCAGTCTCCAGGGAGCCGTCGAATTTCGTTCCTTTATGGTCGGTTCCAACGCCATTGGTGTTGATGCAGACCATCTACTTCCAGATCGCGATATCAAGAGCCTCTCTGAGGAAATCGAAAAAGAGAGGTACTGCACCTTTTCCGTAATTGCTAAGCTTTGTGGATGATAGTTTTCTACTGGTTGTGGATGTCATGGTCGATTCCTTGCTTCTTATCTGTTTCTGTTGCCTTATTTTCAAGTCATTAATGTTTTTGTCATAGTTTTTGCAACATACTGCTGGTGACGTTCAGCCCAAAACTTGTTCTTTGTTGAGTGTATTAACGATGTAATGTTTCTTCTTGACTTCTTTCGACGTTATTTAGATCTGTGACCCATTAGAACTCTCGCCCGAATTTACAGAGAGTCTCATTCTTAGACTAATGATAAATTGTCAGTCCTTGGTTGCCAGCAGCTTGGTAGTCGATCGTCTCTAGAATACTGCAATATTCTAGAATATTTCTAGAATAGAATATTTCAAACTTCGTGGCTCGCATGGTAGCAGACGTAGAAAAGCGTCGTTCTGAACATTCGATTCTATATAGTGTTTTTACCTCCTCCCTCGATATGTTATCTAGTTTTGTTTATGAATAGATAATATGTGTAATGATATCATTATTGTTAAATTAAACTTCGTAGGAGTGTTTAACGCTATTCTTTTTTCATTTTTAACGCTTCTAAGGTTTTTCATTTAAAATTTAGGCATTTTGTTATTCTACGCCGGTAGTGTTTTAGGACAGAATACTTAAAGAAAAGCAAGCAATTGCAAGTGCAGCTTAGTGAACTTCGAAATGAAATAGAGGGACTGAAGATCGAAGACCATCAAACAGAGTATGACAGAGCTTATCAGGAAAATCTTCAAAATAAAGCAGACAAATATGCAACTTTGCGAAAGGTAAGCTTAGGTTTTTTGCTGATATTAATTTTAGATTTAAACTGACTTTAGTCTGGCGCTGGCTCGACCAAGACTCGCATTGCTCTTTTTGATGGTCTATAGCTGGAAATAAAACAGTGAATCCATCATATGAAATCACTTCCAAATTCTTGATATTTTGGTTGTCGAAGAGGTGCTTGCTGAATCTCAGACTGACGGAACCGCCGATTTCCAGTACATCTGCTTGTTACGCTATTTCCTTGTTTTTTTCAGTTCGCTGGTGCTCACGAATAAACTTATTATGCCTGCATTGATTTCATGTTATCTGACATATGATTCCGCACTTTTTTGCATTTTATTGTATATTAACTTGCCGTGGAAGAATTCTACCGATTCCTATTGAACCTTGTTCAACTTAGAATGACCTGTTATTGTTTTGAGTCGAGATTGTGCTTACCGCTGCTGCACAAGTTCATCTTAGCATTAGAAGAAATCGGTCTAAGACAGCATGTTTGTCAGTTGCGGCTCGTGTTGTGATGATTGTAGTTTATTTTATCATCTAGTTACGTGTTTAAAAGACGTCCATTGCGATCAGTCTGTTTGACTGAGCGGAACGGTGATTTGAGAATCATCACGGTCTTTCACCGTGCCTTCTATACGGCTGTTATTTTCAGTTTTTTTTATTCTCTGAGCAACAGAAGGAACTGAAAACTGTTGTGTCATACCTAATATTCGGTAATATGTACATTCAGCAGAAACGAATAAGCTATTTGAAATTTCATAGTTTACAGTACTAGACTAAGTGAAAAATAAATTTAAGAATAAAATTAAGTAGTTTGCAATAAGTTGAAAAAAATCCTAATAATTATTGCATACAGTGTAACAATTCATTTAATTGATTTGATGAAATTGGTTGATTTCAAGAGAGGAGTAGCGGATGCAGTTTCACGGGAGAATAGACTGAGTGACCTATGAAGGATGGAATGAGTGAAGACAAGGAACAATCATGTCTGTTATATGTATAAGTCCAGCTTTCTGCGCTACAAAATTGTAAGGGCATATTTCACTTGCTTGGAAATTATAACAAAAACTCCAGTAAATCTTTTACTCTTGTCCAATAAAACTTTCTCCTTTATTCTCTAACTGTCAAACCTATTCGATCTACAGA